CCATTTCCAGAACTTTTTATGACCCCAAACAAACAACTGTCCATTTCCTTTTTCCCAGCGCTGGAGAACTATTCTACATTCCAACTCTGTGAATGCACTCCATTCTAGGCTCCTCATAAGTAGTATCATATACTTGCCCTTTTGTGTGTTTTATTTCGCTTAGCATAATGTCTTCAGGGTTCATCCATACTGTAGCATGTGTCAAAATTTCCTTCCTTTTTAAAGTTGCATAATATTCCAATGTTATGTATAAACTGTGAATAATACTTTTATGGACATTGGTATGCCAGCATCTACTTCAGGTTCTGCTTTCAGTTCTTTCAGGTGTGCACCTAGAAGTGATGATTCTAACGTCTTGAGAAATCAATATACTGTCTTGCGTAGTGGCTGTACCATGTTTATATTCTTACTGGCAAAGCACCAGTGTTCCAATTTCCCTATGTCTCACTAACACTTGTTTTTTTTCCTTTCTTTTTATTTTTTGTAATAGTCATCCCTTTGGGTATGAATTGGTTTCTCATTATGGTTTTTGATTTGCATTTTACTAATGGAGAGTGATGTAGAACATCTTTTCATGGATGGGCTTGTTGGCCACTTGTGTGTCTTCTTTGGAGAAATATCTACTTAGTCTTTTGCCTATTTCTGTGTAGGTTGTGTTTTTTTAATTTGCAGGAGTTCTTTATATATGTTGGCTATTAATCCTGCATCAGATATATGATTGGAAAATATTGTGTCCCATTCTGTGCGTTTCTTACCATGCATTGCTCATCTTTGATGAGGAAGAAGCCATGTTTTGTGTCTTAAGGGTGCCTAAGGGCTCTGTCAGGACCACTGAAATTGAACTCAGCACCACAGGAAGGTCGCATCTGTCCCCTTCTTGCAGGTCTCTGTGACAGCCTCCTGAGAACCCCAGGCTCCCTGACTCTCTCTATTTCTGGGTCCAGCCAGCCCACCACAGGGACAGTGACTCACCCTGCCCTGTGTGCCCTGCCCTCAGTGGCCACACAGACACAGACACACAGACACACACACACACACACACACACACACACACACACGTATTCTGCATTTCCACCTCTCCTTGCTAACAGTCTAGACAAGGGTCCTGCAGAGTTTATTGACAATTTTCCTGGACTCAGGTCAAACAAGTGTCTGTTTTTGAATTACCAGGCCTATGGGATGAGATGCCTTCAGATCAAATACTTTGCTTAGCTTCTGGTGTGATAAAAGTTTTAAATCAGACATCAGAAAGGTGTATCAGTGTGTCATTTGAAAATTCCTGTTTTTCTCCTTCTTTTCCTTCTCCTTCTTGTTCTCCTCCTTCTCCTTCTTCTTCTTCTCCTTCTGATTATAGACTAATCATAAATCATTCCAGAAAATTTGGGAAAATAAGGATGGTCAGCAGAATAGTTGAAATCACGCCAGCCCCCTCCCACTCAGAACTGCCTGCTCACGTGTGGGTCCTCTTCCTTCCAAGTGTGGACTTCTCACGTGCCTTTAGGGTCTGTCCCGCTTCTCTCAGTTCTTCCACTTGATACTAAAACATCTAAAAGTGTTATCCGAGCCCTTCTTGGCTTCTGGATGTTTTTCCTGCAGAATCCGTACACAGGTTGAAATACTGGGCTTTTCATCGAGGAGACCTGAACACCTACCAGGGTTCTGAGGTGCCCTCCCTGCAGCAAGAGCGCACCTCAAAGGCGACAGCGACACGGTTCCACTGATCTGGGGAACCAGGCTCCTTGCAGCCTGGGGCCATGTCGTTGTTCCTTCTTACAAGTCAGATTTCAGCACTAGGCTCTCATACCTTAGCTACTGCTTTCTAAGCTCACCAGCTTTCTATCAGAGACAGAGATCAAAAAGAAAGAAAAAAGCCCGAGAGAGAAGGGAAGAAATTCAAAACCTCAGCCTTCTTCACAGGCCTGTGCCAATGCTGAGCCAAAATCTAAAGAAGCAACTCTCAAGTCAAAACAGTGACCCAGACTCTGGCCCATTCCTCTTGCCCCTTTGCACATCCACCCAGCACTTCCCGTTAGCAGGGCACATCCGCTCCTCTGCTTTCTCTGTCGTTAAACTCCCTGCAGGACGCTGGAGGTGTCGGGCAGCCACACGGCCACTGCACATGGCGGCTGAGGGTCAGGAATGTTCTTGCAGAGGAGAGAGGGGGGTAACAAGGTGTCCTCAGTTGGTCAAGCATGGTGGTGCTGTAATCCCAGCACTCAGGAGGATCACTGTGAGTTCAAGGCCAGCCTGGGCTACCATAGTAAGTTCAAGGTCAGCCTGAAGAGGAGGCACTGCCCGTGGCTGGCACCTACCATGGCCCTTGCTCCTTGCCCAGGGGTCCTGCTGAGACTCGACACAGTCAGGAAGCACTGCACTCCTCTCTGTCGTGGCCACACACCCAGCCCTCCCCACTCCCAACCCTCTCCTCCCGGCTGACTGCCCATCTCCAGCGGTGCCGGCCTCTTCTTCTCTGCCATTTCCTCCCATGTGTGTTTTCTCAAAAGCCTCTGCTTGTCCCTTCTCGGTCAGCCCTGGCTTCTAGACAGACACTGCCCCAGGTTCTTCACCTCTTGATCCCAGTATCCCCCACAGCAGGGGACAAAGGAGTACAGAGGGGGCACAGACAGTGTTTTGGACTTCGGCAAAGAAAGACATGTCCCACTCCTGATGGGCCAGGAGTCGGTCAGGTGGCCACTCTGAGTGCAAAGAGGATGGGACATGGTCAGCACACACACACATGCACACACACACACACACACACACACGTGCACACACGCACACGAGGAATGGGGCTGGGCACCTGCAGGTAGCGCCCCCAGGCTGCCCAGTGTGCCATCACCACTCATTCTTTAGCCTTTTAGACAGGTTCCTCCAGCCCAGACAGACAGACGCCTGCAGCTTCAAGTTTGCAGTTGAACCAGAAAATGAGAGGAAAACAGCTTCACCCTGCAGGTAGAAGGGAGACAGGGACAAGATTTCCTCCCTACTATTTTTTAAAACAGGAAATATTGGTGAAGACTGTCAAGAAGCAGTTAATCTAACAAATATTCTTCTCTCGCTTAAGGAATCAGAGAAGCATAAGCTCAGGGTGGCTTTGCACTCTCAGACCTGAGAAGGCCAGGTATGGCCTCGGCCTGTAGGATGCCTCAGACTCTGCAGACAAGGCCTCCCCAGCCTCGCAGAGCTGGGCCCCGGTAGTCACTGTGGGAGGACACCTGTTTAGAGACAATTTAGGGCAGAATTAGGAGTGGGAGCTTGGGCGTGACTATGCAGGATCGAAAACACCCGTCCCGTAGGGGTGCTGGCAGTGGGCAGGGAGAGGACCCTCTATCCGCATACCCCTCCTGCCTGCAGCCCGTCTCTGCTCTCTTCCTCTCCTGCCTGGACATCTCTTCTAAGGATTTATCCATTTACAAATGCAGGCTGTTGACAGCAAAGATCTAAAAGTCCAAGCTATCAAACCACACCGCAGACCCTGCAGCCCAGATGCCTTCTGTCCCTTGGGCTGAAACATAAGAATAGATCAATGCAATTGATTTGCAAGATGACTTGGTACCTTTCTAGTCTCACCCCTGGCCGTTGTCTTCATGTGTAAAGAATGCGCTATCACCAGATGTCCTTTCTCCTTTAATCAACAAAGAGCATGGTTACTGCAGAGTTGACGCAGAGCACAGGCAAAGGAATGAGAGCATGGAGGAAGGAACTGCTTCTAAAACTTTTAGAAGCCCTAAAATTATTGGCTAGACAAGTAATTTCATACAGTGGCTTATACACATTTAATAGCAGAATCAGTCAGAAAGTTCCCTTTGCACTCATATTCTAAGGGAGCTTTCCTAATGCACCGTTAACTAACAATTATGGCCAGGATTTATCTTGATGACCATCAGAAAGAAAATAACCACGCCCCAAATTGCAGGCGCTACATGTTGAGGCAGAAACCAAATCAAATGTGAGAACATACAAAAAGAGAAAGCACATTTCTTCATTTCTTTACCCATTTTTTCAACCTTGGTATTGAATCAATCGTTACAGTACAACATATGCATATTTCCCAACAAAAAGTAGAAAATGTTTAAGTCCCAATTAACATGTAAAAATCCTGCTCAAAATTCTTACCCTAAAAATTAAAGGGGAACAATTTATTACTAAAGGTATTTATTGCCTGTCATTTCACACAAGCACATGTCACATATGTGGTTTTGTTTAACCTCATAGCAACCTTGTGAACTGGGCTAGCGAGCATTTATTTGGTAAATGGCTTCCACATACTGGATGGCTTAAACAACAGACATTTATTTTTTCAGTTCTGTTCTGGAAGCCAAAATCCAAGAGGATTGGTTTCTGGCCTTTCTTCTTGGGTTGCACATGGCTGCTTTCCCACTGCGTCTCACATGACCTCCGCTTTGCATAGGTCCACCCAAGGTCTCTTCTTCCTCTTCTAAGGGCATGCATCCTTTTAGAGTAGAGGCCCACTTTCTCAACCCGCACTTATCTCCCTAAAAGCCTCCACCTCCAAACACAATCACACGGGAGGTTGCGCCTCTAACCTGTGGGTGAGGGACACGGTTTAGCTCACAGCAGTAGGTCAAAGAGCCAACTGTGGCTAAGTGGGGGAGCCAAGCCCCTCACAACCCCAGGAGGTCCTCTTTGAGAAGCCCGTTGCCTCTCCTATGCCATAGCATCTCAGACAGGGGACAAGCATCTGGCCATCAGAACTCACTCAGTGGAAGCTGCTATCAGAGAGAGACTGTCACAGCAGGGAGTTCCAGCCTTTTGGGCCGGGTGGGGATGGACTTGCACAAGCTAGATCATGATTCACAATCCTGCAAGCCGGCCAGAGGCCCAACCAGATGGCATCCAATAAACGTGCCTTTGTTCACCCTGTTCACAGCTACATACCTGGTATGCGGTTTCACTGTCATTTACAATGTGTGCAGTTCTGTTGTTCCCAAAGAGAAGCGTTTCATCCTGTTTTTCTTTTCTCTTCCTCAAACCACCAGCTAACGTCCTGGAGGGCGACTCCATGGATCAGGATGTGGAGAGCCCCGTGGCCATTCACCAGCCAAAGTTGCCTAAGCAGGCCAGAGACGACCTGCCGAGACACATCAGCCGGGACCGGACCAAAAGGAAAATCCAGAGGTACGTGAGGAAAGATGGGAAGTGCAATGTACACCACGGCAACGTGCGGGAGACCTACCGCTACCTGACCGACATCTTCACCACCTTGGTAGACCTCAAGTGGAGGTTCAACCTGCTCATCTTCGTCATGGTTTACACAGTGACATGGCTCTTTTTTGGAATGATCTGGTGGCTAATCGCCTACATCCGAGGAGACATGGACCACATAGAGGACTCCTCATGGACTCCCTGTGTCACCAACCTCAACGGGTTCGTCTCTGCTTTTTTATTCTCCATAGAGACAGAAACCACCATTGGGTATGGCTACCGGGTCATCACGGATAAGTGCCCAGAGGGAATTATTCTCCTCTTAATCCAGTCTGTGCTGGGATCCATTGTCAATGCATTCATGGTGGGATGCATGTTTGTAAAAATATCACAACCCAAGAAGAGGGCAGAGACCCTGGTCTTTTCCACGCATGCGGTGATCTCCATGCGGGATGGGAAACTGTGCCTGATGTTCCGGGTGGGGGACCTTAGGAATTCCCACATTGTGGAGGCCTCCATCAGGGCCAAGCTGATCAAATCCAAACAGACTTCGGAAGGGGAGTTCATCCCCCTGAACCAGACGGACATCAACGTGGGGTACTACACGGGGGACGACCGGCTGTTTCTGGTGTCACCGCTGATCATTAGCCACGAAATTAACCAACAGAGTCCTTTCTGGGAGATCTCCAAAGCCCAGCTGCCTAAAGAGGAACTGGAAATTGTGGTCATCTTAGAAGGAATGGTGGAAGCCACAGGTAAGACAGGCTCAGTCCTGAGTTATCTGTGGGTTAAATGCTCATTTTAAACGGTCAGATGGTCTTACTTACTACACGACACAGGATATGGACACTGTCCCTGCTTCAGGAAATGGTATGTCTGTGTGTCTTATAATCTGAAGTGTATTCACCAAGAAGTCTAACCACTGAGCTTTTAGGATGCCCTTAGAAAATGAATGAATGCTCAGTGAAAAAGAGCACCTTATATATACATTTTTTTGTTTTGTTTTGTTTTTTGTTTTTTGTTTTTTCTCCGGTACCGGGAACCGAACTCACGACCTTGCGCTTGCCAGGCAGGCGCTTGGCCGCTGAGCTAAATCCCCAGCCCCGCACCTTATATATTTTAAATTTCCAAATATTTACTTAAATTAAAATTTGATCTGTCCTTAAAGCACTTGTTAAATGGGTTTAAAACATTAATTTAAATACTTGTGGCACTACCAAACCGTGATAAAGAAGTTATGCCATTCAAAACAGCCTAACAGGGGCTGGGATTTAGCTCAGCAGCACAGCACCTACCTCGCAAGCATGAGGTCATGAGTTCAATTCCCAGTACCAGAAAAAAAAACAAACAAAAAGAAAATATGATGTCAAAACAGCCTAACAAATTGCTTTTAATAAAAATGCAATTTTGGCCTTTCTTTGAGAGCTATTTATAAGACATATAGCATTGGTTCATTTCTATACTGGGTATCCCAGCCTCTCTCCACATTCTATTTGCAAAATCCCTGTAGATGTTATATTGCAGATCCAGTTTACAAAAAAACTCCATCCAGGCGTGATAGCACATGCCTATAATCCCAGCACTTGGGAGGCAGGAGCAGGAGAATCGCTACAAGTTTAGGCCAGCCTGCACTACATAGTGAGTTCAAGGCCAGCCTCAACTACATAGTGAGACCTTGGCTCAAAATAAACAGAACAGCTCTAGCAGAAAAGAAAAATATTAATGGTCCATGCGCTGACCCTTCTGTTGTTAATGGCACATCGTGGGTGTGTTTGAAGAGCGCTGATCTGTTCCCAGCACAGAGAAAACAGTCTGCTTTTGTTGAAGTCTTCACTCACACCTGAACTTTATACTTGTTCCACAGCCCAACAGCCAAAAAAAAGTTCTGCCCATATTTATCTGTGAGACCCCACAAAACAGAGCAGAGCCATAAACTTGACTCAAGCTAACAGTAATGCCTTCCAGGAAGAGCATAAACAGAACTCGAAATCATTCCTGCCTTTACTGTCCTCAGTTCTCACTAGTCATATCTCTTGTTTACCGTCTGTCCCATGTTTTTAAGACTTTAACCTGAGGCTCTGGTTGGCTTACAGCACCTGAAAATCCTTGTTTACAAGACAGACCCAGCGTCTGCATCAACCTGAACCGAGTCCCCCAACCTCAGCCACCCCTTTCAAAGGACAGTCCTGGTCTCATGTTTCTGTCTCCCTGTAGCAAGAGGCAAAGCCACAGCCTCTACTAAATTTCTCTTATGGTGCTGTACATTTTTGCAACAAGTTCTGGGAAAAGTAAAGGACTGCAAGGAGCTCAGTGATGGGAGCAATTTCCTTTCCACAAAAGCAACCTGACCTTAAATAATCACAGCACACTGTCAGCCCTCGGGCTCCTTGGAAGGGCACCCGCGGATTCCACATCCTCAAGTTCAACCAGCTACGCGGCTCTTCAATCAGACCCTCCCTGCAAAGACCCCCATAGGACGCAGGAAGGCCAGTGTGCAGATCTTGTTCCGGTGTCTGAGCTCAGGAAGGACCTGGAGGAGATGGCTGTGGTAGGATCTCAGCTTTGAATCTCACGCCCGGAGCTTTCTGCGCTCCCTCGAGCCAAAGCTCTCCACCACAGAGCCAAAGCATTTCTTGAACATATCTGTGTTGAGCATTTGCTGGCTTTTTTTCTTGTCATTATTTCTTAAACCATACAGAAAACTGTTTACATCGTATTTGCAGGGTATTAGGTGTTCTAAGGAATCTTGGATCTCAGGAGTATACTGGGCCATTTTGTATAAGGAAGTCAGGCACCTCAGGTTGGGGTATGGTGGGGAGTTCTGGACTCCATCCTCCATGACTTCTGAGGGGTCAGTGCATGTTTATTTCACATCCACCCGAGACCCAGTCCCAGCACTGTGGTACGTGCTTGCGGCATGAAACTATGTTAGGAAAACTGACAGAGCAATAGCTGCCTTCTGTGCTATGGAATAAGACCAGGACTTAGGGAGCCCCTTATTTTTGAAAGACTTCTTTCTGCATTTTAAACCCTATTGTAAAATACTAAGTACTGCCGGTGTTAACACGGTGACCCGGACCTTGATCTTGGTGTCTAATTGTGTAGGGCAGAGGAATAAGGCGTCGCTTGTGCAGGGAGCTTGTCTTGTGCTGACAGTCCCGAAACTTCTCCAGCCTGGACTGAGCACAGGGACTCTGGGTCCCCCTAGTGGTGCCTGTGGAGCTGCAGCCTCCGGCGGTGTTCACCAACTGCTCGCCTCGCGTCTCTCAGATCAAACCCACCCTGTAAAGACCCCCATAGGCTGCAGCGAGGCCAGTGAGCTGTGCCCGAGCTCAGGAAGGACCTGGAGGAGATGGCTCTGGTAGGATCTCCGCTTCGAATCACACGCCCAGAGCTTTCTGCGCTCCCTCAAGCCAAAGCCTTAGCTCGAGAAATCAGTGTATCTGGAGTTAGCAGTCATCTTCGGGATGCCCCAGTGGGAATTCTCCCTGGACGGCCCTGTCTCCCTGATGACAGCGTGGAAAGAGTGAGACTGCAGAGCGAGGAACAGCGTTTCCTTGGTGATGAACAGGAATCCTTGCCTCCAGGCACTCACTGACCTTTCCTCAGCCTTCTTAGGGAAAACTTACCCATTGCCAGCAAAAAGCATCAAAGCTCTGACCCCAGCCCTTTGGAATAAGCAGCCACTATCGATTTCCTTTAAAGGGCCGGGGAGAGACCAATAGTTTTCTCATTCCTGGAAAATGGAAGTGGGTGTTCCAGGAAACACACTGCTGGGATCCTGAGGTGTTTGGGACCCCTCCTGTCTGTCCCTTCCTCCGGAGATTCCTGCAGTTCAGAACCTCTACCAAAGTTGATCTCTTAAACTGCAGCCAATTCTTTTTCTTTGTGAATGAAAATCACAACTGGGGTTTATGGGCCTTAAACAGGCTGTTAGGGAGGAAGAAAAAGCTTCAATGTGTCAAAACTGGAGGAAAAATAATGTGGACCAAAGGCACACTGGAGGAAAACAAATTCACAAAGATGTAATCCTCGTGATGCTGGATTGGAAATCAGGAGCGTGACAACCCCAAGCTGACAAAGAAACAGCTTCTGCCATACTGGTTATTTCTTTCCAGATGTCTCTGATGACCTTAAGTGGCTTGTGGAGTGTTCTAGATTGGGGACCCCTTCCACAGTGAGTGCCTGCGGCATCCTGGGCACCATACATGCATCGTGTGGGCACAAGGCAACCTCGATCTGGTGTCTCCTGGAGACCCGGGGTGTCCTGCCATAGGTTGACCTTGTGGGTGGGGTGCAGTACCAGCTGGTGGGTGCTCTGTGGTGCCTTGTATTCCAATGCCAGCAGCATCTCAGAGTAAGATAAGTGAGCCCCTTCAAGGCAAGACCCAACCCTCGCCCACCCTCTTGCCTTGAAGGATCTCGTAGCAGACAGACCGACACCTTTCTAGGACAGACCACATCCTAGGGATGGCTTCCTCTTGGCCCTGCCTAAAGTCAGAGGGATATTTGCGGTGACCTCCCAAGAACCTTCCCATCATGTGATTCTATTTTTGAAAATGAATCAAACCCTGGAAAATTCTGACACCGCCACCAAGGCATCCAGGAGCTGGCCCAGTCTCATCTGCAAATATATTTTTACAGGGGGCCCGCTCCTGACACATGGGCAATTTTGAGATAGCGATGTTTACAGAAGGTTTCGTAGCTACGTAAACAAACATGCTCAGCAGCTGCGGCAAGTGCGCGTTAAAATAGTAAAGCATTCATATAGACGGTTATTTATAGAGGGCAAATGGGCCTCGGGGCGGGATGGCAGCTACACAGAGCTGGGCCCACTGCCAGACTGCCCCTTGCCAGAGCCTCTCTGATTGATGAACTTCCATATTTACCCCCAGCGATTATGCAGTTATAAAAGCAGCCCTGCCCTGCACCCTGGCAAAGGCACCTCAGTAGGATGAGCTCCCACCCACCCCGTAAGCCTTTTAGGATTTTTATGCTTTTTTATTATGGGACCTATGAACACAGAAATGGACCAAATAATATTATCAACCCCTGGATACTCCTTACTCCATTCGCATCACTGTCAATTCATGGTCAAAAATGTTTCATCTACATCCTCAGTCATTAGCTTCCTCAAGCATAGCACTTTCTCTGCGAATATTTCAGGGAGTGTCTTTACAAGATAAAGACTCGTGAAAACACAGCTATGATACTGTCTGGACAGCTGAAATAATTACCTAATGGTTTCTATCTTATAATCCAATGTCCATTCAGTGTTCAGACTTCCAGCTGTCTCATAAACGCCATAAGTTTGGGGGTTTTCGTTGTTGTTGGCAGTCTGCTTGTTTGAAATGGGGTCCAAATAAGGTTAACACAGTGTAAATGGGTGAGATCTCTTGCAAGCCTCTCAGTCCGTGATTGCCCCTTCCAACTCTGATTTCTTCTTTCCTGATGAGGATTTTTCTCATAGAGAACTTGAGAAAAATTCAACATTGCATAGAAAACTGGGGGAAGTAGAGGATGGGATGGAACCATCTTAATGAAATGTACCAGACAACACTTCACATGGGCCCTGGACATGGTGGGTTCTCATTGGTAGATTCCACAACCAAGGAGTGAAAATAATTAAAGAAAAAAAGTACATCTGTACTGAACACACAGAGGCTTTTTTTCTTACCATTATTTCCTGAATAGCACAGTACAACAACTATTTACAGAACATTGCAATGTATTTGGTAGTGTAAACAATGTAGAG